CACACACACACACAAAGCAGGCCAGACTGCATCAGCCATGAGTGTGGTGTTAACAGGGGTCATTCAAACATTCAAACAGCCTCCCAGACAGCTCGCTGCCAACTCTGTCTGGATCTAGGTGCGTTATCAATGTAAACGCTGCTGATTACGAGCCAAGGTGATTCATAAGGACATCTGGGGCAGTCTGCCTCTAGATCTCTGGGTACATGATGGATTCATTTCACTGCACTTCAACAGATGATCCCCACATTCCTACAGTTCCTAGTTAACGCTGGAACTTAACCTATTTGACTTTCGCCCACACGAGACATTGTTTACCAGTGATGTCATTTAATAGAAAGGAAGGCACTTAGGGACAGCTTAGTGATTTGGTCGTTAAAGGATTCCTGAAAGACTGGGCAAAGGTGAGCCTAAGAGCGTAGGGACTAGGGCCTGAGCCCGAGAAGTCCACGAATTATCCAATTAGTTTCCCACAGTAAACCGGGCTCAACTAGTGTAACATTAGCTTATATAGCAAACCTGATTTGTGGCATTTATGGTCCCATGTTGGGAGAGTAATTATGTGAAATCAACCCATGCAGAGGCTACAGAAACAGACTTGTGTGCACGACTATAAAGCACCAACAGCGCACTGCTCGTGGTGACAATATCCATAAATTTATCTTGAATAAGACTCTGCTAGCCGGTATACTCCAGGGTACTAATGACCATTTTGTTCAGTGTATTTATAATATTAATTACAAGCAAAGTACCATGGCAGTACCTTGGAGAAAATCAGCATTCATTTAGTGTTTCTGTCCTTCCGATCACTTACTGAATGGAAAATCCGTCTCTTTACCCGCTAATTTCTAGTTTTCCTTCCTGATGTTTGGTGTAGGCTGGTAAGGGCTAATAAGAGTGATAAAAGTGAATCAAATGATGCCACGCATAATCATTTGATCCATAAAAACCATATCTCCCACTCACCATAAGAGCTTTTCTTCTCCTCAGGCGTGTTTTGAGAACTGGGGAAGAGCACCTTGGTGGTGGGGCTTCCATTAGGCATATCCACATCCAGCCTGGGCAGGGAGATGGCATTTTTGATGATGGGAGAAATGGCAGGAGGCGGTGGAGAGAAATCCTTGGATGCCTCTCTGGGTCGACTATCAGAGCCCCTCCTAATTTGACGGAGGGTCCTGGAGAAGAAAGCTCCGATCTTGTTGTCGGGACTGGAAACAGAATCAGTTTCCCCATTGTTCCCGTTGGCAGTCCCGCCATGATTGCTGAGGAAGGATGTGTCCCCAAATACATCGCCACCGCGGCCCACGTGCATGGTGTGACGGAAGTCTCCCAGAGGAGGGCTAATCATGTCCACCGTTAGGTCTCCTTTATGGCGACGCTTGCTGTGGGAATGTGAGACCAGACCCTTCAGACCTGACAGCTTTTCCTGAAGATTCATGATCAGAAATCAAGAATGGCTCGGATCTTCTTGAGAATCAACTCGAAACAATTTCTGGAATTGCCTTTAGTCCCACAGAAAGGTCAAACTTAACAATAAATTTCAACTTCTCTCCTTTTAGAGTTTTACCAAAGTCACTGACAGTTCGTCAGTCCAAAGTATGGACCTGGAAAATAGCTCTCAATGGTTATTCCGAGATCTGAAGCTGTGTCGTTTTTGAGGCTGAAACGTAAAACTCCAGGCCTACAGTGCCAAATAGTTCACTAGAATAAC